GAAAAGTTTGTGAGGAAATTTTCTTTTGAGTTCCAGTTTTTTCCGTAAATTGTAAACTAAAAATCTTATTTTTAATTTTTAAATATAATAAAATATCAAAAAAATCTAGTAATTTTAGCAACATCAAGTTCATTCATCATGTGTTTTATGCGGATTTCAATGTGAAAATCACATACTAAATGATGTTGATGCTACCAGGATTATCAAGTAATCCTGGCTTTTCATAACCTCATAAAATATAATTATATTTTTTTATTAATTTTTTAATATTTAAAAATTATATTAAATTTATAAAATTTAAATTCAAAATTTTATTTTAAAAAAATCAAATTTTTTTTATCCGAATCAATATATCATTAGCATGAAATATAATTATATAATTCATCATTAGATTTACTAATAAAAACTACACCACTGGTCTTCATTCTATTACTTGTGATAATTGGGTCAATAAAATGAAAGAAAAGAAAAGGAAAAAATAAAAAAAGATTAGATGAAACAGTGAGAACATATATATAGTTGAATTGAACTTATCTAAACAGCGAACAAGTAAATTCCAACTTCAATCTATCAAAAATAAAAATTCAACTTCAAAGATGGTGACCGGAACCAGCTTGAGGTTGATAGCTCATGTTTAGGATATTTTCTTCTGCCTTAATGGCTGCTTGTCTGTGTCTAATCTTCACTTTATGTCTCATATAGTAATAATAAAATAATTAGGATAATCAATTCGATATTCTCTCTTCTTTTTTGAATTGTCAATTTTTTTTTTTTAATTAATGAGAAAAAAGAATGTCATAGATACATGGTATGTGAATATGGTGGCTCCCATCATGGTAAATGATTGTTGGGTATGAGTCAAAAATAGTGGGATTTTTCTCCTAATGATATTGGATTTTTACAATTCGTTTTCCACATGAGACGATGATAATCATCCTCACACGTGCACATTATCACCAGGCACCAGCGGTAGTCTTTTATGGTTCCCATGTCAACCTTCTTGTCATTACCATCCAGGTTCTCTTCACATGTATGATTTTTCTTATATTATTTTTATCTTTTTAATTTATAAGTATTGCATAATTAAAAATTTATTAAATTATGAGAATGACATATTTTTGACTAAAATAATAGTATAAGAATTAAGATATGATAAGTTATTTTCTTATCCTACACTTGAATTTGTATTTATGAGTCACAAATTCTTTAATCTAATCTTAAAGTATTATTTTATTACTAGAATATATGGCGGTGAACAAAGTGGAATAATTATTTCTTACCCAAAAGACAGATACTTGAGGAACCAAATCCATTGAAAAAACCCAATTTTCCATCTAAAATTATGTGTTCAACACTTCATCTTATTATAATTACTTAAGGTTGGTGTGTATTTTAGTACATCCACGGATCCACCTCAAATTTGGCGTTCAATGGTCAAAACCAGACACCACATAGAGGATTTCAACACATCTCGAAGTCTCTAGAGTTTTAGTCTGAATTTTCTCATGTAACAAACTTCATGGTTCTGTTTGAAGGATTAAGTTAGAAAAAAAGGAGGGGGAGGAGAGGAGGATTTTTCAACTACTATGAGATTTTATTCTGATGCTCTGAGATTTCACACAAAAGGAATCGGTGAATGTTGCTGGAAAGGAGAAGAATTCTAGAGAATACATTTGCCCAAAATGGTCCATTAAGATTCATTCTAAGGTCACCAATATAAAGTCTATATGTGTCGAAGTTGGCTCCAACCTTAACACCTCCATTATTTAAAAACATTTAGCATATATAGATATTTGGGGACATATTCTTTCCTTTGATTTCTTCCATCTTTCCACGCCATGGGGAGAGTGTGGTAGCTAGTTGGAAGTTTGAAAGAAAAAATATTCTCCACATATGAAAAAGAATTCTTCTTTTATTTAGATCATATAATCAATTATGTAATTCAACTAAATATAAATCACTTACTTATTAATACATATAAATCATTTACATCTAAACTAAAGAAAATTCATGAAAAAATGCATCTATTTGTCTTTTTCAATAATTGAACTTTATTCCACAAAATAAAAAAGGGGAATTATTTTTATATTACAACAGAAATTATTGTTGAAAATGCACTGTAGATTCAAGGATGTATGGAAGGCTTTTGATTAGGAGGATCTGAGTGGAGTTTCCTATTCCCATCTCCCACTTACTTTACTCTCTTCAAAAAGACAAGCTTTTAAAAGGGGAAAAAAAAATGCTATCTTTTTAGAGTGCAAAAGTTAATTATTCCTCTCCCCCACAAGTGAACATCAGCAAGGAACCAAGACAATGACTCCTTTTCATTTCACCCCCTCCTTTTGAGGGCACACATGCCCTCTGCCCTTGCAATGAGTGCTCTTCCATTAGCAAAGAATCCCAATCTCCCCTGCTTATCAATTTGATTCCCTCCCCTTTACGATTCCCTCTAAATTTGCAGGACTTTCTAGGGCAAGTCAACCACAAAGCTGAACCCTCCTTTTCTTAATTATTCCATGGGATTTTTGGATTTCCCTCGTCTTATTCTGCTCTCCAATTTGCTAGTGATTAACAGCAATGCAATCTTCAATTTAAAAACTTAATTATATTTAAATAAACACCCCTTCAAAGCCCATAAGGCCTTTAAATTTACCCCAATTTGAGGAAAATAATAGTTAAGCACGTATTAACCTAAGTTATTCTAGTTTTTTTATCAACACATATCAATTAAATATAATATAAATATGTTTCTATCAAAAACAGGTCATAAAGACAAGAAAAAGCAATTTTTAGGAAAACATTAACATCTTGGAGCAGGAAAACAACTAGCATACTTACAGTGGCTCGGCTTTTTCCCTTAATCATGAGGCCACATGGATTGATATATCATGTCATGAAGTCAAACCTAATCCATGCAATTGAGTGGGGTCCAAATACCTAATCAATGGTGATAAGCATCATGGTCCAGGGACTCGTGTATGTGCAGGCCTTTGTCTTTTGGGTTCATCATCTTCATCTGAAGACATGAGGAGAAGGGTTAATGAGCAGTGGCTCCATCTAAATATTAAAGGTGGCACAAATGGCTCCATCAATAGGGTTTCTTGAGCATTTGTTTGTTTATGTAGAAAAGTTGCTTTCAAAATGAGCTAATTAATTGCCTAAACCTCAAAGAGAAAAACTGATTGGTTTTATAAAGCTGAAGAACTTTTACAAAATGATGGCTCATGGGGTAAATATTAGAAAACATAAAAGGTAGCTGCATATGATAAGCTTCAGTGCTTAATTAAATCACATCACTAAAATAAATTAAAGGAATAGGTTTAGGTGACCTAAATTCAAATCTTCAATGGATGAATATCAAAATCACTCAAATGTTTCGTATATGATATGATCAAAGATCTAGATATCCATATTATGTTTATATAAAGAAAAAAAAAATACAAGAACCAAGTCAAGTTAACAAGATCAGTCTAGGCATGTAAGCCCAGATTATGTCCAAGTTTACCTAGGCAACCTGGGCTCTTGAACCAAGTAATTGGCCCGTTAAAATTTTCTTCCAAGCCCTGCAGGCCTAGAGCCGAAGCTAATGTTTTTTTGTTTTGGTACTAATTCTCAATATTCAAAAACCACGTTAGATCTTGATTACTCTGGAGTCAAGCCAGATCAGCTCCCATATGAGAAAAAACTCTCACAACGTATATTTTTCATTCACAAGACTCAAATTAGATATTTTACTTAAGAGTTTTTTCTATTCAGGCTAACAGATTGTTGGTGCCGAAACTAATATTGTTTCAACAGACCATGCGATTGTTTGAGGCAGAAGAAAAATTTTAATTTCAGCATGTTATCTGGAAAATGCAGAAAGAAAAGTAAATTCTAATTATTACAACAAAATGTAATGTCTAAAAGGCTTTAACAACAACAACAGGGATTGCATTCCCTCCTTGTTTCGGTATAGTATTGAAAATATATCATATATACATCCTCATTCAAGTTGTCAAAACTTAAAGCAAACTGCTAGGAGTTCATCCAATTCCTCAAGAAGTCTTCCATGTCATCTCAACATGTATCATTCCATTCTTCGAATTGAAAAGATGGTATTTCTCGTTGATACGTCCATTGTGAACAACATCACTGAGATTGATTTCCACATGACCTAATGATTCCTGCACAATACAGGGTGTGAGTCAATATGTGTAGCACAAAATGGAGAACATAAAAGAATTAATCATACCTTTGATCGGAAGCTGATGCCTCTCTTCTTGCTCATAACCTCAATACGGATTTTGTCATGCAAAGGAGGTTCCTCAAGCATAAACTGAAATTCTTCATTCCAGAGAGGATCGCGAGTTTTCTTCATCGTCTGATAACTCCGAAATGCAGATACAGACATGAGAAACTTAACCATAGGAGGACTAGAAAATGTCATGCACATAAATTTTGAATCCTTTAAAGTTTACCTTTGTCTTCTTTACTTCTCCTCCAAAAAGCACTAAAGCATAAGGATTGTTGTGATGTTCCCCCTCAACATCCTCAGCTCCCAGAACCATAACTGAGAGTAAGCCTGCTCCACTGGGAACCTCCTCATCAGATAACTTATCAAATCCACTTTCTGTTCTCGAGTATGTTTTATCCATAGAGCCATCCAACTTAATGCTATCTTCTTTGAAAGGAACATAGGTTAGCTCCACTGTTATTTTCCCTCTTTGCTTCTTCTCATGAGGATCACTAGCAATATTGGTGTTCTTCAGCAAATCAAGATTAAACTCCTTCATCTCATTGGGTGTAAGCAAGTTCAGGTGGATCAACTGCATTCCTAACTGGTCATCGGCTCCTACCTGTGAATAAGAACACAATGAAAAAGTAACCATCTCAATCCTTGTTCAAACAAAATCTCTTCATTAAAGCAAAACTCTTTTTCCCTCTTCATCTATCATCAAAGACAACAAGAAGAGCACCTTATCCCAGTCGAAGACTTGTAGTTGAAGAACTTGAGATTGAGGGTCCTTCACAAGAAGCTTGAAATTCTCATTCCATACAGGATTTAAGTTTCTCTTCTTTATGGTAGTTTTCTTTGCAGGTAGTCTCTCTCCGGTCAGGCTTAGTTTAACATAAGGATCTGACGTACCAAGGATGTCCATCTTTAAAAGCTTTTGTGCCCTCACAACTTTCACATGTAATATCCCCACGGGCTTCTTTATTGCCACTCTATCCAAGGACAGAAAAAGAAACAGAAAAACTTTTATCATGATTTTTATTTTTATTTTTTAAAATTTATTATTGAAAACTTTTATCATGTTATGTGAATAGAAGAAAACATACAACTTTGTATGTTCAAACTTACGTTGAAGAATCAAGAATGGGTATGTCTAGAGTTTGGGGCCAGTGGTACAGGTATGCTACTTGCTTTTTAATAGTCTCCTGCAATCAACTAGAACGTTTTAGATGATATAAACCATCCCCCTGCAGCTAATTTTAATTTTCAGAAAATGATAGACAATTCAATCCCCTTCCCTTATAAGAATTACCAGTGGAGCACCTGAACATATCGATAAAGGCCAGGTATGGCCATAATGTCCCCTCCTAGTATCTTCATTCCAAAATCTACATGAGGCTGCAGACAGAGAAGAAGACAATTGAGAAACAAATTGATCTTATGATTCTATTTGAATTTGGAATAGCAAGATGATACAATCGACACTGTATTCTTCAATGTTCCATATATTTTGCTCACCTTCTCCATCAGTGATACCGTAATATTTGCAAAACATGGAAACGTAGGCACAAGAGGTTTCAGAGCTATTCGTGGTGAAACAAATATTTGCAAATCCACTAACTGTAAAGAAAGACAATCAATGTAAAGAACAGAGAAAAAGGAAACATTTCTCCCAACAAATACTGTGTCTGGGGCACTTCTGACCTGAACTTTGATTTGAAAGGACAACAACTTTATCACCAAAATTATATTTGGATTGCCAGCCCATCTAACTGCAGGTTCTATGAGTAATTCCTTCTCATTAGTCTCATAGACTTTTACACCTGCAAATGGAAAAGTAAACAAAATATGGGGAAATAAACATAAAGGACCTTCATAAACTTGGCTTCAAAACATAAAGCTTAACTGTGGTGAGTAGAATAGAAACTCAAAATGATTTCTGGAAACATTCTTCTCAACAAATGCATCAAAACACAAACCATTAATAACTGGAGGAATGGTTCCAAGAGTTAGTTTCTCAAACTCAATAGACTGTATCTGGAACTTTCCAATGTACCCTGCAAATATAGGTTTTGTCATGCTTCTTATAGTACGACAAATTGCCTGTACATCAGAACAAACTCAATAAATAAGATAATCAAAGAGATTGAAAATATTTAAGAGCAGAAACCACTTTACCTTATCAAGGTAAGGCCACATATCTTTAACAAACTTGTTTAACCAGTCTACCTGCAAAGTTGCACAATAGTATCATCAACAGTCACTGCAGTATGCCGATAAATCCAATTAACTAACTACACAGCAAATAACTCTTAATTTTTTATACTTACTCTCTCATAATCAGGGCTTTTTACCCATAATGGAATATCAGGTAGAAGTTCCAGCAAAGTATCGGTATGCAGTTCATTAAGTGGCCTAGAAAAACGTTCCTGCATAGAATATTACAAGCTTAAGTCAAGCATATTCTTGGAGTAATGCACATCTTCCCCTCAAAATTAAATTTCAAATGGAATGAAAACACACATAATTTGTTAAATTTAAATATTAGTTAAATTACATAAAACACAAGGCAGTTCTACTTCCTGCCAATAATTGCAAAATTGTGTCCTTGATTTTTTTTTTTTTCCCTGAAAATGAACTGTTTATGCTCAAATTAACCTAAAGTTTCAAATCCTGTAGACTGAATCAACATGTCTCCTTATGGAGTTATTCTTCTCAGGGTTTCATCTGACGTGAAAGAAAGTCTCAACTACCCTAACCACACGAGGGAAGAAGTCAATTCTCAAAAGCAACTCATCATTTAATTCAAATGTAGACACAATGCTTATCACTTCATAACATTAAAGGAAGAAAGGGAGAGGACAGACGTCACAGACCACAACAAATTCGGGGCGACAAGAAAGAGAGTAAGAAACCCATATTGAATTTCATTTCTCTAGACTTGAATCAACCATTACACTACGTAGAACCCCAAATCACAATCGATTCTTTCCAGAACAGAAACTCAAAAATGAAATACAATTTGGTTAGATCAAGAAGAAAGAACCAGCCTTGCAAAATCGACAAACAGTGAGCAGTGTTCAAAATCAAATACACACACAAAATAGAGATCCTACGCAGGAAACAACAGACACCCAGATCACGGCAACCCCAACCCACCAACACCGTTCAAATACTCGACGAAATCTTAAAAAAAAGATACAACCTTTGAAGAACAAACAGGACAAAGTTGTACAAACCTTGACTTCTTGGGGCTCAGAGTAGATGAAAAAATAAAACCCAGCTAAGAGTCCGATGACAGTTCCGATTGCAAAGCCAAAAATTCCCAACAGAGTGCTCAACAGTCCCATTTTTCTCTTCGCTGAAAAGTTTTGAGCGTTGGCGATGACCAGCAAGTCTATGAAGAAGACTGGAACGAATGAAACTTCCCCAATGAAACCGCCAAAACTAAAGAATCCTTTCGAAATAAAATTGAGTTCTAAGCTTCCCCGTAACGCCGCACTGTTACACCACGTAACCGTACAAATAAAATGACAATATTACCCCTTCATTTTTTTCCTTATTATTTCTTTAGTTTTTTCTTTTTTCAATTGAAAGTAATTCTCATTTAAACAAATAAAAAGTACATATAAATATATCAATTATGAATTTTTTTAATTATAATATTAA